GAACACAAGTAGCTGTGCTCTGTACTTATATGAGCCTGCCCAAGCTGCACTCTGTTCACTCACAGCCTTGCTCTCCTGCCTTCCACGGTGTGATGGACGGGAGAAACTGTATTTACAGTTAGTTTCCTCAGGTGTTCGTAGCTTGAAGAGCTCAGCATGCGTGAAGCATCTGGCGTGTATTTATTTGGGCTGTTTGTCTCTGTTATCTGGTTCCTTACATTTCAGTGCTCAAGCTGCTTTTTCATTATAAAATTCCTCTTGAGTTTCTGCCAGATCCTTGGTTCTGGTCCGCAGCAGTATAAACAAACCAAATCTGTCTTCCCCTGTTGTCCAGATCCTGATCCGTAACAGAGTGACAGACTTGGATGCTCGGATGAATGACGGAACGACCCCGTTAATTCTAGCTGCGCGTCTGGCTGTGGAAGGAATGGTGGCCGAGCTAATTAATTGCCAGGCAGATGTGAACGCTGTAGATGACCATGGTAATGTGAACACAATTTACTGGGCTGGGCAAATATTTGTCATGGTGGGAGGAGGGAGGAGTGGGCTTCTGCAACGTGAACTGCTCATAAATTCTGCAGCTAGATCACACACTGTGCTCTCCTGCAGAAGTCCTCCCGGCAGTAACAGACTGCGAGCTGCTGCGCAGTGACTTGGTTAGACAGTCCTGAAAGAGAAAAGAAGAAATATGGGGCCTGGATATGCTGGGATTTTCTGTACCTGCAGACATGACACTGCATATTCTAAGCGGATATGTCATTTGAAAAGTAAAAATAAAAAAGTCCCAGAGCAAGTGCTAAAAGTCCCATTGCATCTTGCTAACACAGGGGTATGTCACAGCATGGTGATATTCCAAGGTGTAAACTGTCCCGTCACGCGTTCTGTGACTTCAGGATGTGTTCATCTGTTGTGAGCTGCACTGTGGTTGCTTTCTTCCCTCAGTTTACTCTGTCCATCTGAGTGCTTTAGAAAGTATCTCCTTCATTTGTTACTGAAGCTGTTTGGTTTCCCCGCAGGCAAATCTGCTCTTCACTGGGCTGCTGCTGTTAATAATGTGGAAGCAACACTGGTGCTACTGAAAAATGGAGCCAACAGAGACATGCAGGATAACAAGGTACGGTTTGGGTGTGCTCAGCATGGCTGCGCTTGCTAACTCAAAGCATCTCTCTGCTCTTGGTGATGAACTGAGTGCACAGTGCAGCTCTTCCAAATCCAGACTGTGACTGGAACGCTTCCCAGGTGCTGGATGCCCAGTCACATTTCTGATTTGGGAGAGCAGTTCTCTTCCTTGGTTGGCCAAGTCCTGGGCATCAATGCTGTCCTGCTTTTCTTGCAGGAAGGAAATGCAGGACACAGTTAATAGTGTGTGAGAGCACCAGGGTGAAGTGCCGCTGGTGTCGAGCAGCTGGATTCCAATTAGCAGACAGATCTGGCAGCACAGCAGCAGTCATGCCCTGTCACATTTCTGGGGATCTCAATGCTGGGTGAATATGGGCAAGAAGCCCCTCTGAGAGACACTGTGCAGCCCTACTGTAGCTTCACTTTTTAATTTTTGCTAAGTCTTAGTCCTTGATTTCTTTCCTCTGCCTAGGGTTTCTCTTTTGGTTTATTATGTATTGCTCAGTGAATTTTTGAGCTGTCAACAAGCTGCTGTTCTTTATTGGGCTGGTTTAGTCCTTAGTAACTTTCCCTCAGAGGGGACAATGGGAGAAAGGGACCAGGTGCTTTCACAGTTCCTCCAGGGACCCACAGCAGAATAGTGCACTTCCTCATGAGGTAGTGTAGCCTGTGCACTCCACTGCCATGTCTGAAATCATCTCCTGTAATCTACCTTTTCCAATGGACATCTCTCAGGGTAGGTTGTTCTCGGAGACAATGAGTGTGACACTGCAATAAACAGCGCTTCCAGGCATTCCCACGCCACTAAGGGAGTGTTAGCTTGTAAGTCCCCTCACAGTGAGGCCGCTAAAATACGTATTCTCTGTGTTTTCAGGAAGAGACACCACTCTTCCTTGCCGCTCGGGAAGGCAGTTTCGAAGCAGCGAAAATCTTGTTGGACCATTTTGCCAATCGAGACATCACGGACCACATGGACCGCCTGCCCCGAGATGTGGCCCAGGATCGGATGCACCACGACATCGTGCAGCTCCTCAACGAGTACAACGTGGCGCACAGCCCCGCTGGGCACCCTGGCGCCATGCTCAACTCTGCCCTCTCCCCAGTCATCTGTGGCCCAAATCGGTCCTTCCTCAATCTGAAGCATGCTTCGTTAAGCAAGAAGTCACGAAAACCGAACACCAAAGGCATCATGCCCACGAACCTCACCAAAGATGCAAAGAGGAGAAGGAAGAAGTCCCTCAGTGAGAGCAAAGGGCAGTTTTCGGAGAGCTCAGTGACCTTGTCACCGGTTGATTCCCTGGAATCACCCCACGCTTTCGCATCCGAACCAACGTCGTCTCCTGTGATGCCGTCGCCAGGCGTGTTACACTCATCGCCCAGCTCGCTGCTGACCGCTCCGTCGGTGCAGGCTGCGCACACCATGTCCTTCTCCAACCTCCACGAGATGCAGCCCTTAGGTCGTGGGTCCAGCACGGTGCTCCCATCAGTCAGCCAGCTGCTTTCGCAGCACAGAACCACCCCCCCGAACAGTGGGCTTGCCAGGCTGCGACCGGCCAACGTTTCCACCGAGTGGATGAACCGCATGGAGGTGAACGAGTCCCAGTACAACGAGATGTTCAGCATGGTGCCGCAGGTGATGCATTCGCACCCCAGCGTTTCTCAGCAGAGCGGTTTGGTCCAAGCAGATACAAAGCACATGGGAGTGTCCCGGGAGTCTCTGCCCCCTATCATGACTTTCCAGCTGGTTCCCAAGGGTGGCATAAACCAGCAAGCACTGCCACAGCAGGCCCAGTCAAACTGCGCTCAGAACATGGCTGGTCCTCTTAGCTCCATGTACCAGATACCGGATTTAGCTCAGCTGCCCAGCGCCTCGTTCTCCATGGCCGCCATCCCTCAGCAGGACGGGCAGGTGGCTCAGACAGTCCTGCCAGCCTACCACCAGTTCCAGAGCTCGATGGGGAAGTACCCCACGCCTCCATCACAGCACAGCTGCTACTCCTCCGCCACAGAACGGACTCCTAGCCACAACCGGCACTTACAAGGGGAGCACCCGTACCTGACTCCGTCACCCGAATCTCCAGACCAGTGGTCAAGCTCCTCCCCACACTCTGCCTCCGACTGGTCTGATGTGGCAACCAGTCCCAGTAACAACCAGCGTGGGCCAGCGGCCACTCATATGACGGAGCAGCAGCGGAACAACATGCAGGTGTACGCCTGAAAGCTGGCCAAGGTGAAGCCCGATTAAAGCGGACTCCAGAACTCATGAAGGTCTTCCAAGACGAAAATGAAGAACCGTTTTAGAATCCAAGAGTCTTAATGAGCCCAGGCTGTTCTTTCCTTGGAGGGACTGTGGTCGCTATAGGCTTGTACGCTTTTATGCTCAACAGAGAACTGTAGAAGCTGGTGATGGAGAAGACCAGCTGGGTCACTTCTAACCAACTCCCGTGCACCTTGGGTGTGATTGCTGTCTGCACTGGATTCTCCAGTCTGTTTTTCAGTACGTTCCACCGTTTCTTTGGGGAGACAGCTCTTCAGCTTAATGCATCTCCTGGTCATTTCTCCAGAAATTTAGCCAAAACCAGCTTTGTATCCTTATTTTGTTACTCCTTTTGTTATCCACATAACCTCTCTCTGAAGCACCTTCTACTAGTTCTCCTCGAGTTCGAGTTGCCTTGTCCTGACACAGCTCAGAGCTGCACCTACATTCCTGGACCCCTCCTTCCCACGGCTGCTCTTGCTCAGCAAGTGAGCCGGACTTCCCGAAACACCTGCAGGTCAAGTGACACGTTTTTTTCATGCAGCTTCACACTTTCCTCTTCAAGAGCCTTTGTCTTGTACAAGCCCACTAACACCCCTTAGCATTCTCACTGCCTGACCCACAGGTATTATGAGATTATATATACATATAGTCTTCTCTTAGGTCTTTTGGGTTTTTTTGGTGTTTTGTTGGGGTTTTTTTCCCTCCCTCCCGAAAACGCTGGTCTGACCTGGTCTTCCTGCCACGGTGGTCTGTAGGCACATCTCTCAGTGTTGTACGTCTTCCCAGAGACACACCTGACTGTTTTGACACGCTACCCCCTGCCCATTCCCCTGTCCTGCCAGGTGTGTCTGTGACTGCCTTCACAGGCTCCCATGCCGGAAGAGATGCCCTGCAACTGCTACAGGAAACTTTTGGGATGAGCACGAGTGTTTCAAAACCTGGTAACACAGGCTCCCAGCGTTCTTGCACAGTACTCCCCTCCCCTCCATCCAAGGGTGGCTGTGTGTCCTGTCCTCCAGATACCATATGCTGCCTTTTTATGGTATTATCAAGAAGCGCCGAGGATGTCGTTACATGTTTGCAATGTGTGTCCTTCTGCATCAGGAATGGCATCCAGCCCTTGGAAAAGTATCCCTTTTGCTCCAGCCCTACGACAGGGCTGCTTTGTCTTCCCCTCCCAAAACGGAGGCCGCAGCACTGACTCCCGAGCAGACTCCCAGCAGCAGCAGCAGCATGCCCGAAGCCAGGAGCTGGGCTTAAGCGGCAGACCAAATAGCTCAGAAAACGTTGCCTAATGCGGTTTGGGCAGCAGGTTTGGGGCTGTCCTCTGTTCTCAGCTTCAGCCTGTATCGAGATTGCCCAACTGAGGTGTCCCACCTGCTCCGTGGGACAGTAGTGCCATTTGTGCTGCAGCTCCCCTGATGTTTTTGGAGATACAGACGCCAGCTGTCGCTGACCTTAGACTTAACAGCCACTCTCCCTGCTTTGTCTGCCAGAGCAATGCTTCCCTGAAGGGCTCCGAGCCAATCAACAGCCGAAGTGAACATTTCTGGGGATGGTTTGCTCCTACCTCCTCGGGGGAACCCTGCAGACACGTGTTCCAAAGAGATCGGGGCTGTTGGCTGCTGCCAAAGGACAGAGAAGGCCGCTCCCCTCTGAGCAGTGGCCATTCAGCCATCCTACCATGTACAGTATTTTCTCCGATGTTTCCTTCCATTCTAATCAAGTGTAAAAGCTTTTCCTTTCGATTTGACTCAATGGTACATGAAGGCAGGGCCTCAGGAGGAGCTGATTCCCGGGGCCGTCGTTTTGGGCTGAAGTTTTAATTCTGAAGTTACTACTTTTTTTTTTTGACACACGCAGCGTTCCCTGGCATGCTCACTGCAGTGTGTCCCGTGAAGTTTAGCTGCAGCCGACTCGGATCTCCAGGCAGGAGCCTGCAGGCTCCTGGAGGTCTGTCCAGGTACATGTTTTCACTGCAAATAATGAAGTGTTGCTACATCGATGCTAAAGAAACAAAGGGCTTTTCCTCGTTAGCCCCAAATAACCAAGTGCCTTTTTATATATGTGGCTACCTTTTACAAGATGAGTGCTTTCAGTGGAATGAAGACAGTTTCGTGCCTGGCATGTTAATACGATGGCCCTCTGCCTTTTTTTATTTTTAACTACTTGTAAAGATAATATCTCCTTAAGGTGGTATTTTATCTCATAAGCTGTAGAGTAACCATTCACCCAGCAGCATTTTCCTATATTAATAATGGAAAATATGTGCTTATTTTTACATTTTTTATAAAAGTCTTTTATGAAAATAGTTGCTGCAAAATGTATAAGCAATTTTTATCCCCAGAATAAAAAGTATGTGCCCGGCGTCCGTGCGCTCCTGTTTTCATTTGTCTAGCCAGCTATGGCAGCACAGCCACTGGATTATAAATCGGTCATCGGGGTTCAATTAGCTGTTCAGTCCCCTGGCGAGGGGAGGGCTCGAGGGACCTCCGCAGCCTGTGTCAGCAGAGAGCTTTTGGGGATTGAGGGTGCTCTGTGCTGTGGCTCAGCAGTGCACGAACCCCAGTGCTGAGCTCCATCCAGCGGGGCTGTGCCTGGGAGCTGAAAGCAGCCGAGCTCCAGTGTAGCAGGAGAATTCGGGGTCTCTTGGTTAGTTGGGAAAGGGAGACAGTAACCAGCAGCCAGGCAGCTGGGTGTACCGGGAAGGACTAGGAGGGAGTCTTTTTGAGATGCTTTGAATATGAGCTCTTGCTTGCCTGGGAGCTGGGGAGCTGGGCAAGTGGCTTTCTTGTGGCTTTTAGAAAGATGGTCGTTCGTGGTGGATTCGCCCACCCTTTCAGGTCCCGCTTGCTTCGCTGGGCTGTTCCCTGTTCTTCCAGCTCGGAGGAGGACCCTCACCCTTGGAGCTGAGGCTGCCTCCCTGGCTTTGGCTTGGCATGAAGATTCCCCAGCCTCTGAAACATGGAATCGTGGCTCCTCTCCATGCTATTTACAGACTGAACAATTGGAGAACAATGTGGCAATGGCTGCCTTCCTGGATTTTGAAGGTGCCTGAGTGGCACCTTCCTATATTTTGAGCAGGGAGTTGCCACTGAAGCTGTGGGCTCCGCTAGTGCTCACCCGGCCGGTTTCCAGCTCTCCCTGCGGACTCGGACGGAGCCAGTAGCTGAATTGTGCTGTCTAAAAGGGATAAAGCTGCTGGGGTCGTTTTAAGGGTTTAGTATTCAAACTGCACAGCTCCTTTATCTTCTAGTAGAGGCAGCTTGGCCAGTACAAACCTCCGGGAAGTTTTCACTCGTGTTCTCTCACAGGTCACACATCTGTGCCAAAGTTTAGCAAGCTCTGCTGTGTCTCTGGCACAGCTGTGTTGAGTTTGCTGGTGCTCAGGCTGAGACTTGAAACTGCATCTCCTCCCTGGGGACGGGGCATGCCTCTTACCCTGCCCAGGATGATGAGGGGCTTGTGAAAACTTGTTGTGCTGCATCTAAATAAGCGAAACTGAGCTGCCCCAGGGAGCTGGGGCACCCTTAGCTAACCAAGGAGTAAGTAGATTCAGAATCCTTTGGGGAACATTTTCATGGTTTTACATAAAAAAAGGGTGGAATCTTGTTTTCTGGGGGGTTGCTACTCTCTAAGGTTGTTTCTCTCAGGAGAAATGATAGCAGGCAGCAGCTGTATTTGGACACAAGGCTTTACCCTTTGGTCCCAGAGGGTGTTTAGCAAGCTGGCCCAGCCTTGAGAGCTCTCAGAAAGCAGCAGCAAGCAGTTGTTTCCCAGCTGTGTGGGTGAAAGAGGTGGGCCTGATCCTCCTTTCTCCCTAGGGCAAAAGCGAGACCTGCCTTTGCATGCTGGTGTGGAGCTGCTCCCTGTGGGTGTAGCAATACTCCCTGGCTGCATTTTGCTAAATGCTACCACAAAGGAGCTGTGGGAGATCCCTGGGAGGACATGGCTTGAGCCTGACAGCCAAGAGGAAAAGCTCCAGCCCTCTTGGTGTTTGGTGATGTGGGGCTGAGTTCTGGGGCTGGATCCTCCATGGGTAGCTGCCGCTTGGTTAGGTCCCAGTGGTCTCCAGGGGTCTTCAAGAGGGCTGGGGAAGGAGAGCTGGGCTCTGGGCAGGAGCTGGCAGCTTTGCAGGAGGCCACAGGACAGGTAGCAAGAAGAGGTTTCAAAGGTGCTTTCGTATGTTTGGAGCCAGCAAAGCGATGCTCCAGAGAGATGAGCCTCAGCTGCGTCCCCACCATGCAAGAGGACACCCAAGGTGATAAGCGGGATGATGATGATGGAGAAGGCTGTGCCTGACTGTCAAAGGGCTCCAGCAGCTGAGGCCGGGGCAGCCCCCGCTCAGCGTCAGCCTCCTCGGGGCTGCAGGTACCCCAGGTAGGGCAGGAGCTGCCTCTTCGTCCCAGAGGGACGCAGACTGACGAACGCCTGCGTCACCGCCGGGCGTGGGGGCTGGCCACAACCACCACTATCTGATAGCACCTACCAGCCCCCGGCTGCAGGCTGTTCCCGTGTCCCCGCATCCTGCATCCAGCTGACAAACATCCCCAGGCAGTTCAAACAAGGGTGGTGGTTGGGTGACGCATGGCAGAGCTGGGCAGAGCGAAAGGACCAACGGTGACATCCCTCGGCCGGGGGACACAAGTAAGGCCAGCAGGTGGTACCCGGGGCTCAGCCACCTGCCACAGGGATGCTCTGGCTGGGATCAGGGCAGCCTCCCCTGGGACTTGCCCCACTATGGCCTTCAGTGCAGCTGTCACCAGGGCACCAGGTACCCCTGCCCACTGCCAGGCTCTCTGCCACAAGGCTGTCTCTGTGTTTGTGTTATTAATTAACACTAATTGCAGGGGGTTTATTGACCAACTAGGAGAGGCTCTTCCTGTCTTTTGTGGAGAAATGCTGAATGCAAACAGAGCAGAGATCTGGGCAGCTTTCCAGCAAAGTAGGGGGGATGGAGGGGAATCGGTAAGATTTTTATGGTAGGAATCACCTGAGCTGGGCAAACACTGATGCTGGCGAGCGCTGGGCTATAAACGGCAGCTCCTCTCCTGGCCACTCATGAGAAGTGATTATTCCTCCCGATCTCCGGACAGCAGGTGAGGAAGGGGAGCCTCGGTGGTGGCTGGGAATGTGGGATGCTCCAAGGTGGTTTGTGGACCTGCTTGGAGCTGGTCCCAGCCCTGGCAGCTCCCGGGAGAGATAATCACTGCCTTTGCTGGATGGGGCAGGCTGCTACAACAATGCACTTTTCGGTCCTGTGTTGACTTTTGTTGCTGCTTCTCTGAGGGGAAGAGGAGCTGAGCCTGCAAATTGGCCCCAGAGCTCAGGGATTAGCCCAGATAAAGAAGAGCTGCGCTGATGTGGCCAATTTGCCTCCCCAGCC